ATTGTTTTATTACAATTTTTATGCTCCGCATGACTCAAGCAGTCGAATACCAACCGCATGACTCGCGTGTTTGATTCACGCTCACCATATTATTTTATTACATTTTTTGTGCCCCGCATGACTCGAGCAATCGGATACCGCCACAAAAATCTAGTAGCACAGACAGCCAGAGTCTAAAAAGCTTTGCACCTCTTTGCAACAGCAAGAAACAATATCCATCAACAAAACAACTAGCGAGGTGAACTAACAGAGAAAACAAACTCACTCAGAGATGCACCTGCATGTTTGTTCTAACCATATATCTAATGGTGTAAAAAAGGATAGTTTAGCTGGGAGAATGGCAGATTGAAGATTTGAAGGTCACGTGTTCGATCCATGTTTATCGCATTGTTTTATTATAGTTTTTGTGCTCCGCATGACTCGAGCAGTTGAATATCACTAGGATAGCTCAATTGGGAGAGCGTAAAATCTGAAAGTTCGATTCACGCTCATCGTATTATTTTATTACAGTTTTTGTGCCCCGCATGACTCACTCAGAGATGCACCTGTATACTTGCTCCAACCATGTATCCAATAGTGCAAGCGGGGATAGCTCAATTGGGAGAGCGTCTGATTGAAATATGAAAGTCACATGTTCGATTCACGCTCACCATATTATTTTATTACAATTTTTGTGCCCCGCATGACTCGAGCAGTCCACCCTCACCGCATTATTTTATTACATTTTTTGCCCCGCATGACTCGAGCAGTCCACCCTCACCGTATTATTTTATTACATTTTTTGCCCCGCATGACTCACTCATAGATGCACCTTTATACTTGCTCCAACCATGTATACAATTGTGCAAGCGGGGATAGCTCAGTTGGGAGTTGGGAGAGCATCAAACTGAAGATCTGAAGGTTGTGTGTTCGCATGACTCGAGCAATCCACCCTCACCGTATTATTTTATTATAGTTTTTATGCCCCGCATGACTCAAGCAATCGGATACCGCCAACAAGAAACAATATCCATCAATAAAACAACTAAAGAGGTGAACTAACAGAGAAAACAAACTCACTCATAGATGCACCTGCATGTTTGTTCCAACTATGTATCTGATGGTGCAAGCGAGGATAGCTCAGTTGAGAGAGTGTCAAACTGAAGATATGAAGGTCGCGTGTTTGATCCACGCTCATCGTAATATTTTATTACAGATTTTGTGCCCCGCATGCAGTGCACAACCGGCACGAAGACACACATTCCACCCTGTGCAGTTGAAAGCAGTGCACAACTCAATGCTCGCCAATCGAAGGGGGGAGGTGGTAGAGGGGTGGGGAAGGACAATATATTTATGGTGCGAAAGGATCTCTTAATTATCTTTATGTCTTGCATTTTCCCAAAAATGCACATGAAATTAACACTGCCAAAAAGATACGAAGCCAGTGTGTTACTCTAGAGAATGCTAGTTGTAGTTATTACATTCTAACTAACTATCAGCACTATAAGATGACAAGAATTAGCAATATGTTTGTTGATTGTGATAAAGAATTCAATACATGAAAAGATATCAATATTAATCTTTCAAAAAATTCAAGTTACAGCGAGAAAAAGACGAGAATGTGCCCAATCACAATCTATAACTTTGTTCAGTCAAGGAATATTAAATCATATTTGTCCAAACCAAACCAATCTCAAATATAGTGAATTGACAAGAAACATCATGGTACCAATATCACATTTAATCATTTAAGCATCAGGTACATCATGATACAAGAGAGAGAGAGAGAGAGAGAGAGAGAGTGTGTGTGTGTGTGTGTGTGTGTGTTTTATATTACATTTGACCAAGCCAAAAACACTCATGATGTACATACATCACAAATCTACACAATTTAGTGAAACACAGATTTGAGCTGCTGCTTACAGGTTCACCACAGTAGTGTACATTTTCTTTGATAGACGATAGGTAAATGGGCCTTACCACAATAACCTGTCATGAATATAATGATCGGTGGTTTCCTGCCACATCTACAATGAACAAGTAGGCTTTGTCAGTAATGCGTAACATTTCTTTTACCAAAAGTTAAGAATTTAAGACATCATCCTACAAAAACAATTATGTAAAAATATGCATGCAGAAATATGTATACCGAACACAGTTTACCAGTCAGGATGAACCCACCAACCAAGCAAGCTAAGATTTGAGGCACATCATCTACGGCACTCAAGGAGAGCAGCATATGGTCAGCTACACAGGGAATATCACAAGTTGCCATTGCGGCATTTAAGACTCTGTTGCTGCTACTGCTTTTGCTTCCCCTCCCCCCATGGCTTGCGACACAAGCTGGAAAGCTAGTTGAAGAAGGGCTAATCTTTAGCATGAGAACCATCACAAGTGGCTTTAGCACCATAAAGTTGCTGAATTGTGCTCTCTCCCCCCAGAACAACTCTGGGAAACAAGTAAGAAGTTTGTGGCAACATGTTAGCAAATAATACATGAAGTAAAATAAGAAAATATTACTGCAAGGGATGCCGAGGCGGAAGATGAAAGTTAATGCGGAAGACCAGAATAGTAAAAATGAAGTTACCCATCCTCTAAAGGCATTAAATGCAAGCTCGAAGTACAACCAATTACCAGGAAGGATCATGGCAGGTCGTTCTGTCACACTCCAAAGCTCTTGGAGGATATGCTAATCTATTTCCAAAAGGTCAACATCATGTACGGGAAAAAGAAAAGAAAAATATGCAGACAGGCATGCGTTCTTTTGGCCGCCCATTTAAAATGGATTTTAACAGGTAAATTCTACCAAGAAAAGGAACATCAATTTTGCATGCTACATAAGTGAAACCACATTTACAGTCACTACAACAATACACAAAGATCAGGCAACAATATAAGAAGAGAAGGAAAAAGAAAATGAGACAATGAAGATCTGAGAAGGCATGCAATTCTGTACCTTATATGTTCACCAATCATATTAACAAACAAGTGAAAGGACAGTGACACTTTATAGATCTCTTCTCCGGCGATTCAATTCTCTTCATTGAGAGCATGTGCATAGTGAAAATATATTACATGCTAAGCTTAAGCAAAAGGACTGTTAAAAATATCTCCCATTTAATGGCCTTGATAGCCACTTCTTTCTACAGAGAGCAGAACATGTAAATTCCAAGATGTGGTCATAAATAAAAATGGAAATATGCCTGTCAATGCAACTCAACCATAGGGAGAAGATGAGTGGATGTCGCATAGAGAAAATTGAAACAATGTCTAGACAAAAGCAAAAACAAAATATGTTCCAAAACTTACAACTTTATGTCTAAGAAATGAGCATGAAACCAAATTGACCCTACCAAAATGACGAAAGGTAATAGGAGTTTATCATCAACCTAGTTTTGAAATGATGCACAATGACTAAAGGTTAGACCGATAAAATTCTCTCAATCAAATTTCTCAGCTGAAAAAATTTTCACTTGATATGGAATCAAAAAAGAAAAAAGTTAAAAGGAGAAAGAAACATAACCTGCAAACCAAAACTGGAAATTAACATTTGTCTTCTTGAACACAGTCAACAATCCAATAACAATCCTGCATACTGTGAAATTCTAAACTGGGATAACTTATGACATCCATACATTTAGCATATTGAAGTTCTGTTGTGGCACTTCCAAAAGCTGGTAACTTTTTTGCAAGAGAATTTTAGATCAGGTAATATATAAAGACCTGATTCATGCCAATCTACAAAAAGATTCATATGACTTAGAACTTATATTTTGTGCCTCTTCTGGAGCCCAAAAATGGTACATGACTATATAAGCATGTGTAATTTCAATTAAGAGATAATAACCTAATAGGGAGTTATGAACTTATAAGCATACTAGGACCCCGTCCTACACAGTCATTTATATCAATGTATTGTATATATGTGGGACGGATATTATAAGGCTACTTCAGGTATTTTCAATTAATGTTTGCTAACTATGGGAATGGCTGTTATGTTTCTTAAAAGCTTCACATTTGACAAAGACAGATCATCTACATTGAATGTGTATTTGAATTAGTTACTAATATAGAAGTGTCCCCATACTCTGAATTAAGAGAAGTCAAGATAGTCACATTGATCTCTTAGTTTTCTAATTAATCAAAATCTTAATACTCATTCCACATTGATTCCTTGATGAATTATACATCACTAAAAGCTTGTTGAGTTGGGAGTTAACGCATTTCACAAAATTAGATTTAAGTTTTCAAGAGAAAGTTATATTCAGTTCTGGTAATTGTTATATCGAGATTGTAAGAAAGTTATTCTCACGTTTTGGAGTTCCTGGATGATTTTTAGTTATTATAAATATTTAATTTAGTTTTTATTTATTTTGATCTTGAAAATGTTGAAGAATTAATAACTCATGCTCAGAGGTTTGTTCCAAGCCTAACACTATAAATATCATGTCTTGAAAGCCTTAGAGGGAATACAAGAATAATTTTCTTTACAGAGGTCTTATTCTTCTCTTACAAATCTATATCTCTTTGACGGATACTTTAGAGCCGTTAAGCCCCCTGTACCCTAGTTATACTCTTTGGGTGATGATATATGTATCGTTTGAGCATTTTATTTGGGTGGTGAGCTTGTTATATTCCGATCCCTACCATATCCGTGCCATGCCCCGTTTTGCTTTTTGTCCTAAATTTTGTGTCATGTCCATGCCTTATATCCCAAGCACCTTCAATATTCCGATGGCTATGCCTCTGTTCTATCCTAGAATCCAAAGTATAAACAAGAAGAAAGAATGAGTAATTATACTATATGCCAGATTCAAGATTATCCATATTAAATAACATAATTCTAATGGTTCTTTGAACAAGTCTGACTCTAATTGCCACTGCTTTATTCTAAAAGAATTTCTGCCAATTTAAGTCCAGGCATGTTAGGAGAAGACAAAAACACTAAAAAGACATGCAAATTTTGGTAAGGAGCAACTACAACCCATATCTCTATCGAGAACAATTTCAAACCAAGAAGTCGCTTCCCATGATGCAGCCAAGATTAAATGAGCAACTATACTTACCACCCACTTACCCTTTTCCAACTGATCCATCAAGCGAAGGAAGTTGTTCCTTCGTTCAGAAAGAAGTCAAATGAAGAACCCTCCCGAGACTTGACAAGCACATGGACAAGACGGTGCATAGAAGAGCTTGATGCAGGGGAGGGGCGTAAGTCCATCTCTGTAGTGGGAAGATCACAGGGCGGCGGCCTTGTCCTCCATGTAGCCGACGAGATCTCGAGGGCGGACGAGGAGGAAGAGGAAGAAGCGGATGAGGAGGGCGAAGGAGGAAGGAGGAAGAGGAATAAGCGGATGAGGAGGGGTGGGATCGAGGCTCGACGGTGGCGGTGATCGCAACAGAAGGCTATTAATTGTAACTGACGTAATTAATTGATTAATTAACACTCGAATTATTTATGGTAATATTCTTTCTAATTTTATGTATATATATATATATATATATATATATATATATATATATTCTTGCAATTTCTATATGTTATGGGAAAAGATTATTATGGTTAATAGTCTTTCTAATTACATAGATGCAGACCAGAAACGAACACCGTAATGAAGATTTTGTTCACCGAAGCTTTATATGGACAGTTAGCTTTGCAGATTGGAAGAACTGCATTACAAGGCAATCAAATATTAATCAACCAAACAGTATTTTATGACCTTTGAGGAACACAAGAAAAAATCATTATAATTTTGACAATCCTTTGCCTGTGAGAGAATTGAAGCTTCATAATGCTAGTGATTCACTATTAACATCAATTCCGCCATGAAATATCTTCCCATTGTCTACTAAAAACATCAATGGAAACATACAAGGCACCATCAAAATAACAAAAAATGAAGAAGGCATTTAATACTCGATTAAAGCTTTTAGAGATTGACATGAAAAAATGCGTGATATATTGCTGAGACATATTGAGGTACAAGCTTTTCATCTTCGCCATATCTTTGAATGGGATGAAGTTCCAAACAAAATGTTCCAAGTTGAATGAGATATCAAAGAAGTTATTTACAACGAAGGATGACAAGGTACCAACACTGTTACCAACCAAGAGATAAATTAAATGTTACACCATTATAGTTTTGATATGGATAATTGATGTAGTATTTAGAACTCATTTGCTCTTGTTGATGAAGGTCCTAATACATCTTAGGATGAGTAGTACTTACTGCCCATATGGGTTTCTGAATTTTCTTAGTAGTTCTGGAATATCAAATGCCAGCATATCATCAACAGCCTGTATCATTTTAGGCTTCAGCTTCTCGAACTTGTCGATGTTGTAGCCACTCAAAACCTCTTTGAAGTGTTGGACATCAGGGAAATCCCCAGGTGGAAGATGATAGTCCCTTTGAACCTGCTTCAGAAAGTTGTTAAGAGTCTACATGCAGTTTAAACTGTTCAACCAAATTCAAAGAACAACACAAGGCACAATGAAGCTAGATTGATCATCTAGTAAAGCAAGTCTGCAAGTATTACATAATAATTCCATGTGATTTACATATTAAAAAAAAGCATTACCTTTGCAAACTCATTCTCTAAGTTATTAATGAGTCGTTGTTGAGCCTTTGTCTTGCCCAACATTGCTGGCATCTGATTCCTAAGGTGGCTAATAATATAAGCATGGATTTTTGCTGCTCTGGCCCTCTTAACAAATTCATTGATCTGTAATCAATAATGATGAATAAACTAAATCAGATTATACAGTTCATATAAAAGATATATGGGTTGAAGTTGATTGAAGATTACCTTACGATCACAAGCCTTTTTAGGAATATCTTTCAAATCAGAAAGGAGGTCATCTTGTTCCTTTTCAAACAGCTCCTTCCCCACTGGGCCAACAGCCATACTATTTACTGGTTTGTCATTGAATGAACTGAAAATTTATAATAAGAAAATGAAGAAATTAAGCTATCAAAGTAGCAATCCTTACTATTGCAGTCCCAAAAAAGAACAACTTGATACTCAAACAATTAAATGCACTGCACGATGACAAACTATTAAATGTATATATTAGCATTGACAACATACCCAATGTAAACACGCATCACTTCAGGAGTATTCAGAACCTTTCCAAGAGACCATGTCAATGCACCGTAAACTCTCATTAGCTGCAAGGTAAAGACAACTTGCTCAGAATTGCACTATGATTATATCAATTGGCAAACGAATACAATGTGATTGTAAAATGGGATAGAAGTCATATCCTTATGTCAAAAGATAACAAACTCAAATGAAACTATTTCACCTGTTGTGTGTCAATTTGGTCTGCCTTATTTAAAACCACACGTATTTTGTCATCATGACCACGTAGAGAGCCGATGACACGCTTGAATTCATCACTTATGTCGAGCTTATGGGGATCAAATAGAAGAAGAATAAGGTCGCTTTTTGCTGCAAACCACGAAGTAACACCAGTAAAATCATAACTACGTTGAGTTCGTTGTTTCTCTCCAGAAAGAACCCCAGGAGTGTCAACAAATGTGATGTGTTCTAGTAGCTTCACAAAAAACACAGTAGTTAGTAACTATATCAATTCATGCCTAAAAATAAAGGTAAAAAAAGACCATACCGAATGTGGCATTTGTGAGCACTCAAACTTTGATAAAAATGCATTTCCATATGTTGTAAGGCCAGTGAAAGGCATATCTGCTTGAACAGCTATAGTATTCCCAGGAATGGTCCTTTCATCAGGTCCTAACTAAAGAAGTAAAACAAGTGAACAACTTTCCTTCAAAGCTCCTCTTAACTTCTCAAAGAAATCCAAAATATGACAATTTTAACATCATATTTAACATTTTGTTACTTGTCATATGTATAGATCTTTACCTTAACCTAATCCTCAATCTCTTCAGGATTTTTTTTCTCAATTGAAGAAAAACCCATGTTAGGAGTCATCAGTTTCTAATAGTCTAACAATTTAGTTACTATAAATGCACCAAACACGTCACCCTTCTAAAAATCTCTATACTTATACAACCTATGCTGCTCCCTCCATTTAAAATTCAGATCTTTAAATATTTAATTAGTAAAACTATAGCTTATGTTGATAATATTATATTATAAAATTAATAATTTAATTATTATAAATAAAAAGTTACATAGAACAAGTCTCGATTTAATAATTAGTATCTCACTTTGGTATGATTATCTAGACAAGAAAATTGTCAACAGTACTAGCTTGCATAAAATTCATGAAAGGCAAATAATAAAATAAAACAAAGTTCAGAGTAATATACCATCACAATAACAAATCTATCGGTGGTAGGCTCAGGTCCAATATGAGCACCTGTATGAATTATGAAAGATGATGGCATGAGGTTATTCTGGTTTGCACTAACATATAGGCAAAAATCCCAGGAGAAGTTAACAAGTGAAAAACCTGGATAGCTACACTTCAGTAAATGCTTTATGAATGTTGTTTTTCCGGTAGAATATTGGCCTAGGAGCATAACCATGGGCTTAGCATCGAAATCACTGCTTGTCTGGAAAGAAACAAGATGTATAGCATCACATTTCGACGGGATTATATAAGTTGTGTAAAAAATATGTTGTAAAAAGCATCACATCTATTAATTAATAGTCTCATAAGCAAAGTGCAATAACTCACCAACAAGGAAGAACCAAAGTCACTGAACTGGTAAGTAACTTCCAAAGGCTTCAGTTTTTGGATGTATAATCTTTCCAAACCATCAATTATTGAAGTAACTGAGCTCAAAGGAATCTGACATAAAAAATATAGTCATATTTTTCAATTAAGCTGAAGGAAAAATACAACAAATGCCAGCATTCTGAGGAACTAAATCAACATATACTCTTCCTTTGTATAATTTTTGTTATCAGATACTTTAGTATCCTAAAATATCTAATCTAAGATGAAATTAAAAAATCAATGAAATGAAAACAAAAGCAGTCATTTGAGTTTTGACCTAACAGTCAAATGATTCCATTGAATACCAAGATGCTCTAGGTTTTAGCTATTGGTCAATAATGTAAAGCTTTTGCCAAAGTTTATCTGCTTTTAAATAGGAAAACCACACTTCCCTATGATAGCAGATAGATTTTAATATTTTCTTGCATATTATAGATGCTACGTTAGTATGCTAACGTTGTTCATAGTTTTCATGATCGGCTAATCCCTATAAGAATTGGGTTGTAATAAGTGGTCTAACCCTAATTTGTCAATTTATCAGACCATGATTCATGACCAATAAATCAGATAATGCAAGAGTTCCATGAGAAGATGGTCTGTAAAATTTCACAAATAAGCTTGTCAGTATTTTAGAGAAGAACAAATTAATTGAAGCTATACAATATGTAGTTAGAGAACCAGTCTGTCTACTGAATGATAAAATTAGAAACTTCATCATTCAGTAGCTCATCACAAATGGCAAACCAATATAAGAAGAACACCAATATCAATATTCTTAAATATAAGTTACATACTTCTGTGAGAGACACAAAAATAACTCAAACTCAAATATTAAATATATGAAGAAATACTAAAAGATGTAATTCAAATCTAAATCACATGAAAACAACAAAAATAAAATTAGAAGCTGCATATAATTATTTTAATTGTGGCATACAATAATACTTCAAGGAACGGATCCTTTGACGAAAATAGATCATCAAACAAAATATCACCAAAAGAACACAAAAGTGATCATAAAAATATACCTTCTTTGTTGATTTTGTGCCAAACCACTGCAGTTTAGGAGTTTGTGGCTGTGAATTCACTACAGAGGACATTAAAAATAAGAAAATGCACAAGTTGATACTATTTATATGCAAAACACACAAGAAGTTCTATACCATCTTGCTCAGGATCAATTTCCTTTATTGAAGGCTTATTTGTCTAAGCAAACAATTAAAAGAAAGTTAGAAACAGACAAAATTATTATATTATATTATATTATATTATTTTGTGAAATTTTCATTTAAACTTACAGAGAGAAAGGTATCTAATCCTTCCATCACTGGAGGATTTACTTTCTCCAAATCTGCAACAACAAAATAACAGAAATACTGATGCATTTTCTTTGAAACTATCCTAAACATGGAACATAAGATTTAGAAGATAGATCCAAAGTTTACCAGCATGAGCAAGTGCAACTTGTGTGATCTCATTCCCTTCTTGTGCTAGTGACACAAGCTGTTAAAAATCAAAAGAAAAATTTTAATTTAGTAAGATAATCGCACACTATTGTGAAAATTAACTATTGCATAAGGTGGTACAACAAGACCTTCATTGCTATCACAAACTCCTTGAAGCCCAGATAACCTTGCCTTCTAGAGTCTGCAATCGCCCATACCTTAATGCAAAGTGTGATAAGAAGAATCAATAAACAATTCTATGGTTGTATATTATAGAAAAAGATTGCCAAGGAAGCAGCAAGTGTTTAAGTGAAAAAAAAACAGCCAATACATGCAACAAATGCTGCCCGACAAGATGATGAAAGAGTCTTTAGACGGATTCTAGTCTCAGGACCATCTTTACTAGCTAATTAGCATCTTCAAATCAAATATTTTTGCCTTAATTAAATACCATGGTCTCATAAATTCATCTCTGTCACTGTAATTTAGAGCCCCTGTCCCTAACCAATGCTGCCCAACAATACATTGACTTTATCAATATGCATATCCTGTATAACATTATCTTAAATATGCTAAGTGAAATTAACTTTACAAGCACTAAATTAAGACTTACAGATGATCCTTGATGCAACCTTATGGCCATTTAGAACATAATAAACTCACCTAATCCAATTATCCCCACACTAATAACAATTCTATCACATGTATCTTTAGTTTCATTGATGACTTCATTAAAAAATAATGTCTTTTACAACAACCAGCATTTATCTGTATAATAACTTCTAATTTGAAAAGAAAAGGGAAGCAATGAATCTATTCATTTCTTTTCTTTATACACTGAAAGATAAACCTACAACATTTATGAGCTCTTATTCTCTCCGATTACCACATCAAAAGTCTGGTTAAAAAAGAACAGTAACAATCGAAGTAATAACGGAATTAACATAACTAAACAGCGCAAGAAGATTCGTATAATCTATAGAAGCAGAGATGAAACACCATAAATGAACTAGAAATCGGTTTACCTGCTTCAGGTCACCCCGAGGTAAATTAGACATGGCAAAAAACTTGATGGCATCGGTCCCCGTGAGGCGGCCATCTCCATCTATCATTATGAAGGGGGAAATCCTCAATAACATTGTAAGCAACACTGAGGCAACAAGGATGAGAGAGTAACGATCGACGATGAACCTGAGTCAGCGAATGAGAACCAATTCTGGTAGATCTTGTCATTCTCTTTACTGATCGAATAAGAGACGATGTCCATCGAGCAACGATAGTGTAAATGCTCAGCAAGTGATCGGGTGGACGAATCACGAGTTATAGAATGAGAAGGGGGAGGAAGGAAGCGGAGAGAGGGCCGGAGACGTGCGAAAAGTGGCGGAAGGGGATTGAAAGGGGTGAACGCAAACAGTGCTCGTGCTTTCAAGCTTTGTTTCATTCGACTTGTTTGTCTTTTATTCCTGCGGCAGTAGAAACAGGAGTGAAGGATCTTGTCCAAATACATTTTTAAGTTTGGAATGTCCAATTCCAATTTTGGGACTGCGGAAGCCGTCCGTGGTCATTCCGACATAGATGGTGTGTTGATTTATGCAATAAAGAGATTCGGTGCAAAATAGTCGCGCCTTTGTTGACTCAACTGTAATGCCAACTGATGCTAACGTTGGGGGGCCCAGATGGGGCCTTTCCATCGGCCAATCACCTTGCTTCGACGTGGCAAGGACATGAAATCAATCTAAATAAAAAAATGAGAAAATTATTAGTTATCAAGTTTGAAATTTGAAATTTGAACATGGCAAAGAAAATATCAAGAATTATCTTTTATAAATATATTTAATTTAATGTATCAAAATAAAATAAAATTTTGAATTATTTTAATTTAAGTATATTGTAAAATTTTGCCTCTCACTTGGGTTTTTATGATTTATTATTATTATTATTATTATTATTATTATTATTATTATTATTATTATTATTATTATTATTATTATTGATGGCCTTACTTTCCTTGCATGCATAATAAGGCATGTAAAAAAGATGAATTAGTGTTATACTATTTTTATTAAGGCTATAGTGTTTTTGGAACATCCACAAAAATATTTTGAATCTATAATGAATAAAGACTCAAAATATAATACCAAAAAATATTATCCATTTTGGGATTTAAATAAGTATTTTTATTATTTTGGTAACGAGAATATTAAAAAATGATTTCTAAATAATATTATAATGTTTTCAGTATATCCATAAAAATACTATAATTGTACAGATCTGTGTAAATGGTAAGTATCTTTCATCTATTTAATGAAGGGCATATTAAGGATATAACGAAAGTTGGGCATTGATGGCTAAATAGGTGCACTAACCGAGAAAAAGTCAAAAGAAAAGATTCTTCTTAGGAATTCATCCAAAAAAATTCACCTAACCAATTATAAATAATTAGGACATAATGATTTATTATTATATACTTAATTTAATTTATTAAGATTGTACCATAATCTGTATAAATAATAATATTTAATCACATCCTGCTTTTAAATTTCAAATAAACAAGGTGATTTATCAAAAATAATAAATGAAAAAAATGTGGTTGCTCAATCTACCGGTTGTATTCATTTGTAGCAATACAGTATATAAAAAATATGAAATCAAGATAATATAAAGCAGGTTGTAAAGTACATGTTATATGAATATAAGTAGGCTTAAAGCATAAATAGATTAAAAAATGGGTGGTTTCATTAGAAAATATAAATATTTTTTATATTTCTTAATTAATCAATATTATTTTGGAGTAGGGTTTATCTTCGAATGTAATATGCAGGTTCATAATTCTCTAATATGGGAGATTAATTCGGTCAACAAAAAAAATTCATTAACGTAAAGTTATTAGTTGATAACTCTAGTTTTTGAAAAGTATCAAAGTAAATGATATTCACAGAGCTACTTATATCAATCATGATCTTCTTCACTTGAGCATTAATCATCCTCATAGAGATTATCAAAGCATCATCATGATTTAGGTTATAGTATTTTGTTTCTTTCTCCTTGAAAGTCATCTTTGAGTCGTCTTTTGGACGTTTTTCAATGGTAACTTAGGTATAAGTCTTATGACCTAAGGAGCTATCTTTGCCTCCTCCCAAGGCAAATCCACTAATGATAATATCAATCTATCTCTCCATCGGCCCTTAAGGTCAGGTGAGGGTTTCTAGTGCTTTCAAACAAATCGCATAATGTGCACTCGTCATATGAGCTTTTCAATATGCTCTTTTAGGTCGTGATATTCTTGGGTGCCACGAACATAATCTCGGTGGAATTGATAGTACTTGGACTTAGAAATACTTCGGTAGAATTGGTAGAACTTGGGTGAGGGTCTTGTAAAAGCTCATTCTCATTTATTTGCAGGAAGACTTTGGCTCTAGTCATATTTAGAAATGTCAACCTGAGTCTTGGGTAAGGTAACTTAGGTTGTTCATTTCTTCTCTATCGTGGTGACTTTAGGGTCATGACTGATTATGATATCTCTTGCTTCAGCCTCTTACGTGTCACCTGAAGCTTGCCCGAGATCATCACCTTCACAGCAACATATCATTTATTGTTTCTTTCTCCATCTGCTTGAGTTCAAGGAATGTTACTATTGACAATTGAGGGCATACATTCCTGAGAAAGTAAATTTTGAACTTTCGTCAGTTGGGCGAAAGAACAGATGGAAAGTGACTTTAGGCGAGTATATTATTCTTGTGTCAATTCTCTTAATGTGATCGGGAATGCCCAATACATTAAGGAGCCAAAGCTGTGATATAAATGACATTTGGGCTTGGAATGTTGCAATGTACTCCAAGTCAATTCTACCATCGAACACTTCTAAGGATGAGAGATAGATATTTGCTAGAATTGGTTCCTCTTGGATTTTCTAAGTGAATGATGACTGACTCACGATAGGGTCGACCAGTGCCTCCCCTTTTAATTGTTGGAACTCTCTTCGCATCTCCTTCAAACATCGGTCTATCTATCATAATTGGATATGTTGGGAATCCTCTATCAAGTTTGCTAATTAGATCTCAAATTTAAGTATAGCAGAATAAGGGTGGTATATTATATTGAATTATATGGTCGAGAACTAAAGTTCCCCTCGGTTGATGGTTTGATAGGTCTCAGGTACTCCTGAGATCGTGTTAGGTCAAGGAATCTTGGTGAGTGATGATAAAGGTAGAGTTGGGGACAATGACTGAGTTGGTGGCACAGCCTCTTGAACCAATTGGGATAAAATCAGAGTGACAATTTATATTATGCATGTTAGCATCTATACTAACTGAGTAAGGTTTAAAAGCACAATGACGGAGATGAGAAGGTGGCTTGAGGCTATCCCTAGGGATAAAAGACCCGAGTTATTGAATAGATGCCAGCATCACATTAGAGTCTACGCCAAGATAGATGCATTGATGTGCGAAAAAGATAGTTATTGCCCCTCTTGGATAAAAGTATTATGGTTCAGGGACAAAGCCTCTTCGTTCAAGCATTTATTGAGAGGATCAATGGACAAGCATTCTTGCGACATTGAGTCCTTCTAGAGCCAAAAATATTATAAGAAGATATCATTGACATTTGAGTCACCCGTCGTGATTTGTACCTATGTACGTAGGGTTATCCGAGATACCTCCAAGGTGAAAATGTCGAGCTTCTGAGGAGGTTGTCTAATATGTCGCTTACACTAAGATTAAGGTTAGTTGAGGTTTCTCGAGTCAGTCCCTCTAACACCTAAGTAACCCGAGATATATAAGTGAAGTTGCCAATGGTAAAAAGTCACTTTTGATTATGTTAAAAGTGAGCTTTTATATCTCGTAATGAATAGATAGTATATTCTATGAAAGATTCTTCGGGAATAACTTTTAATCATTCCTAACAATCAATTTGGTCTCCTTTTCAAAAAAGCTACAAGGAGAGAGATAGCTATAACTATTTGTCTTGAACCCATGTCTATGCAGGCAAACCGATGATGGATAGTTTTTCTCTCATTCTTCTAACTTGGACACCACATAGATGACACATGTTCGATGATGGTTAGTCAATAATATCCTTCATATTACTTTTAATACCAACATAATCTATTAGTACATAATTACATTGGGCTTGATTGAGTTATGATATGAAATATATAATCTGTTAGTCACCACTTATCACATTAACGCCACATAAGACCCATAGGAAGATAAAGGCCTATACAACCTAACACCCTCCTGCCCATATGTATAGGAGTCTAAAGGCAGCTCGGGTCAGTTATCGAGTTGCCTCTACAAATATTCATAGGAATATTTTTGAAAGTCCAGAGGGCAATTTAGGTCGGTTACAAACTATTGCCCCTATAAAATATTTGCAAAAATATTCTCGAAAGTCTAGGATTAGTTCGAATCTGTTATAAAATGCTTCTCTTACGAAATATTCATAAGATATTCTCATAAGTCTATGGAGCAGCTCGGGTCGGTCACGAACTGTCTCTCCTATAAAATCTTTATGGGATATTCCTTCTCCTCAAAGTAAATATAAAAATACATAATTAACTTTATATTAAAGGTAGTGAATCTCGGTACTAACTTAAGTGTCGGAAGGACCGACTCAGGAAACTCCTTTCAACCTCGATCTTTGTATAGGTAACAAGTTTAGAGAAATGACATACCTTTTCGAATGACTCCTCACATATAGATCAGGGCCATGTTGTGCTAATGGAGATATCAATGATATTTTTCTCTAATATTTTGGCACTAAAAGGGGGGTTCGATGTCACAAGAGCATCCGTAGGACAACCGTGTCTATAAACATTCATGTGAGGCTCTGCCTCCAACCTACAATATTTTTACTCAAACAGAGCAGTAGCCACCATTTCCTTATATAGATATATTTACCTCACCATAAGTATCAATATAGCACTGGTGTTCGTTCAACGACCTTAGACCCTCATATTTGAAAATGTCGTCAAGCCATCTACTTGTTCCTACTAAGGCATTCTTAAACCTCACCCAGCAAATGCAAACATTATCTAGCATAATACAGGTCATTACCTTGTTTTTACCTTGGTTAGACCAATTGGTGATGCCATCGCCTCAGCCCTCATCGACAGTTTGGCAACCACCAACATCGGTATCCACTGAGGTCCTCTCACCCAACAAATTGTTAGTATCTCATGAGCATCCAAAACCTTTCAAGCCATTGACAAAGGGAGCGCCTCATTCCCCAAATGCAGAGTTCAGTAGGCTACCCCACCATCACTATGCTCTACTTGAATTTGAGACACACTTAGTTGATTCAATGGGTAACTATTTGATGATCTAACTATAGCAAATAGATCGACGCTTAGAAGAGATGCACCAAGATTTTCACCAATCTAGGGGTGATGAGTAGATCGACTCCACCTCGGGTCAATCACCGTTTATCTAAAATATCCAAGAGAAGTCGATCTGTAACATCCCATTAGTCCCACATCGGAAGTGAGCAATGTGTATGATTAGCTTATATGGCCCTGATGAGTGTACTTTGTTAACTCCTGCTTAAGCATTTTGGTCCTTGGTTGAAGGTGGCCAGTTGGCTCATCAGACTTGGGTCGTGACATTAT